AAATGAAAAAAATTCTGTTTTTCTTTTATAAAAAATGAAGTCTGCTACCTTTTTAGTTAGAAATATAGTGTAAATATTTGTCTTTCACAGAAGAACAATATTCACTTTGTTTGATCCAAAAATGTTCAGTAGTTTTCAAAAAATGAAATAAAAGACTGTTTGGGGGTGGTCTTTATGAGAAATTCCTAACTCATTAAATAGACATATAGGCTCGTATAAAAAAAAATTCGTGTCGAATATTTCTCAATATACTAAAATATCTCACAATTTGAAGAAAATCAGTGAAGTACATCTAGGGTATAGTCTTGTTTATTGAGCGAGAGATAAAAATATTTATTGTAACTTTGAAAAATTATTCAAAAATAAATTTTTGAATATAAAAATTTGTAGAAATATTATGAAAGAAATAAAGTTTGATAGAAACTTTGTAAACAGAAAACTAAGTCGTTACCTTAAATGATAAAACTTGTAATAATGGAAAGAAGGGAAATAGCGAGAGCTGGAAATTCACTTAATTTTAATTATATTCAGCAACGTGTCGTCAGCACATTTGCTGACCTCTTCAGGCTGGTTTCTCTCGTTTTAGCCTATAATAATTTGACTACGAGAGAAATGAGCCTGAAGAGGTCAGCAAATGTGCTGACGAAACGTTGCTGAATATAATTAAAATTAAAATGTAGTTTTAATGACGGTAAGTCAGTCTTTAAAGCATATAGAAAAAACATGCATGAAAATGTACCATCTGCTCAGTGGTTCATAGGAGAATTTAATATTTCACTCGCTGAGCTAAAAGAAGTATACGATAATGCTGTAAAGATGGATCTTCATTGGATTTAAGAATTCGAATTTAATATGGCCAAAATATGTCATATATGTTGTCAAACTTTTCTAAATTTACTTTTCCGCGTTTTATTAACTGATGTTTGCGTCTGATTGCATCACAAGTCTGCGTTGACTGTTCGAGCACATTTTTCTGTTGTTCAAAGTCGGTTATGTTGACGATTGAGCTGACCGAAGTAAAATAATCTCCTTCCTTTTCATTCTACTATATTTTTGTAGCAAAAGAGTCAGATAACTAGAAAATTACGATTATCATCTCGCCAGCATTTTGTATGAATTTCTCTGAACTTTTCAAAAAGCATATTGGAGTTAACGAGATCCTTGTAGATATGTCTGATGTTAACGTCATCTTGCCGAAATAATACCAATTCACATTATCTCGAATGAGATGTTTTGGAATTCAAGCATAAGATTGATAAAGATAAAAACTATCTGCTCTCTTATGTCGCTTTGTCGGCAGAGACGACTGGTATTGGTACATAGTTGGTTTTTCCACAGTTGCTCGGCCCGCAGAAGACGGCGCGTACAGTTTCAGGTAGTAGTTCATCATGCCTCTTTTCTCGCTTTTCTGTCTCTACCAACCTATCGGAATTTATAACTTGAAGCTTCTTTTTTGGCTGCTTTTTGAAATCCATGTTGTTTGTCGCTCGTTGAGTCAAGCATGAATGAACTCTCAGTATAAAAAGGCTGCTTATATAATCGAGACTTCATTGGTAAGTAGACTTTCGAAGGAGAAAGATCGTACTCCGTCGAAAACAGAGAAGAAGAACAGAAAAGATTGGTCACGGTCTGACGAATAAGATATGAATAGTTTACCTTTCGAGATTTATTTACCTGCTTACCAGTACTGAGGATCTGGAACTAAATTGGAAAAGCATTTGACGCGAGGTGATCCCGGTATAAATCAATTAAGCGCCGCTTGTAAAGACCACGATATTGCTTATTTTCAACATCGAGAAAATATTGCAGCGAGAAACGAGGCAGACAAAATACTAGCTGAGAAAGTCTGGAATAAAGTGTGAGACAAAGACAGCTCTCTTGGTGAAAAAGCAGTTACTTTTGCTGTGACCAACGTTACGGAAGTTGAAAGTAAGTTTGGTATGGGTGTCACGATGGCGACGAAAGTTCGAAAGCAAAAGACAAACAAGTGCCGTTGCAAAGGTCACAACAAGCGAAAGAAATGTAAAAAACCTAGTATTACTTTGAGAAAAATCATCAAGGTGGCGTCGAAAAGTGCTGTGCCTAGCAACCGATCACTAACAGTTGTACGCTTAGCTTTGAAAGGAGCAGGTTGGAGGTAAATGTATAATAAGTGTCCCACGTATTTTACCAATACCCAGCGCTGCAGGTGGCACTCTTCTTTACTTGATTCCATTATTTGGTGGTTTGAGTGCGACTAGAGCTCTAGCTGGAGGTGCTGCCTCAATAGCCAAAGTGGTAAATAGTGCAAAGGCAGCTCAAAATGAGTTGAAAGAGACTCAAATACGTAATATGTAAAAGGATGGAAGCCATTGCTATTGGTAAAGGTCTCTATCTCAAGCCGTGCAACAAATGTTATGGTCTCTATCTTAAGCCGTATAGCAATTTCATTGAAAATGGTTAATTACTATTCGCTATGAATAGTTTTGAATGGAAACCTACGGAACTTTTTCAGCAGGCGTTGAACGGAGATTGCTAAGACATCGATAATGCATTGAAGATTGTATCATCATTTAATCATCCTTTGCATCGTGCGGTTCACTGGAGAAATAATTGGGTTATCCCGTCGAATCTGCAGATTCCACGAGCAACAGCTATTTCTAATTATTATTGCCCAGATACTTAGACTTTGGTAGAGGTAAAATTATTACTACTTCACAACGTTAATGTGAATACTAAAGAAATAGCAACAGCTATCTATTATTTATTGACTGGACACTTTTTCACTTTAGTTCGTATGATAATTTTGACAATAATCTCGGCTTTTAGGCTTGATCTTGGATCAATTATAAAACTGTTGGCTTGTCACCGTAGTGACTTTTTTTGGAGTATGGTGCTGAAGTTGATAGTCTGACTAGTGATACCTTAATTTATTTGTTTGTTTGGTTTTTTCTTTGTTGTCACGTTATTGATCTCAACGACTGTTAACGGTGCGAACAGAGGTTACTGCTGTAGCTTGGAGCCAATATAAACGAAATAGTCATTCCTTGATTTTTAGTAGTATTGCTTTGTTCCGACTGCTCCATTTTATCGATCCTATTCTTTTACATTTGGTAATCCAGAAATTACGAAGTGTTCCTATTGGCATTCAGTAATAAAATAAATCTAACAGATTCCTTTAAGATTTATTTGTATTTGTATTAGGACCATCAGCTTAGGGACCATCCGCTCTCCTGCCTCCTGGGCTGTAATAGTCGAGAAACGAGCCGAGGCGCTCGTCGCGCGTAAGTTACCCCCATTAGGGATTTAGCGTCCTTTACAGGCCAAAATCCGAACACGATTGCCTGGGACGCAAAATAGATCTTTCGGCACACTGCGCGCAAAGTGGTGACTCTTAATAGGGAGCACAGAACCGCACGAGCAGCCTGAGAGTAAAGTGTTTCGCGCATGCGCGATGCGCCTTATTTACCGTCTGATGTCAAACATGGCGCGTTATTTATTATTTTACACAGTCAATACTTAGTGTGGTCCCATGTTGCCTGCAGAGAGCGCAGCATCGCTCCTTTACGAGGGTGTATAGTGCATAATGTACTATGAACTCTGATGTACTGTTTGCCAAGCACCTTCGAGCTAACTAGTTGTACTTTGTTTTAAGCGACATGTGACTTTAATATTTTATATTATAATTTAGAATGAATATTAGCAGAAAAGATTAAAAAGAAACGATGCTACTCCTCACAGCTGTTTTTACCGAACGGTAGAAGAAGAGCTTCCCTCTGGTATTACACGCTGCTCTTGAATCGATCTCTGCTCTTAATCATACGCACACAGACATTTCCTTCTTTGAGAAAGAGGCTATTAGAGAAAAATAGGCGTAGGATTGAAAAATGGATGCCATATGAACAAAGCTTTTCATACGAAACTTCTCTTCATTTGCCTGTGGAAAGACTTTCCTGTTGTCGAGAAGACGCTGAAATCGAGGGCTCACTTGAAAGTCCTGGATAACCTGTCCCTACCATTCAGATGTTATCGGCCGTGTTGTGTCATCGACTTTTTCTTGTTTTAGCTTCATGCACATCTCGTGTGTCGAGTTCAACGGTGAGTCTGACAAGAGGTTTCTCGTAGTCGACTCGTTTTTCTGCATAAAAGTAACTGACATTTCAAACAATTGCATGCCTAACATTGCACAATTAAACAAATTCAAAGCAACTACATTCTTCAGTCAATAAGTTTATCAAAAGACTTTATAGATTCCGTTGGATTCTTATGAATTCCTCACTGGCTATTCACGTCTCCACTCTGCTGTTAAAAAGGGCAAATATAACATAGCCAAGTTTTTATGACAGAAAGGTGCTGAGCTCTACGCTTATAATTAACACGGATTAACTCTCATACATTTGGTGTTCAACAGGACTCTGATAGTGCACACCGTGCAAAAAAATAATTTAAGTCGAGTGAATTATTTTTGAAGGAACATTGAATTTGAAATGCAGTACAACCTTATTCAGAGTAGTATTACCAGTCTAACTGAGAACACACAAGTTGGTCGACGGCTCTCAGCCGACGAGCTTAACAGCGCGACAGATGCACCGGACTAGTGCCTTTTTCATAAAAGTAAAAATGAAGAAAAATCCCCAAAACAAATGTCAACTAGTGTTGCGATGGTTGTAAATATTAGAAAAATGCAGGCTCAGGTCCACGCTTCATGAGGTCATAAAATCAAACGTATCGACAGAACTGGGCGAATACAGCCGAGGAATATTTTTGCATCATGGGACAGTGTAAGGCCGAGGCAGTGAGTTTAGCGAGCGAAGAGACCTAAATAATTATGTTGTGTCGAATTTCCAGCGTAAAAATTACTGATATCATTCATTGATTTCCATGCACAAATTTATTAAAATCAATTTATACCATACATTATTGCTGCGATGAACACGTTCTCGTAAGCTAACAAATGCGTCATCATGCTTTATATAATATTTATAAAACTTGCATTTATTCTGTTTATGCATATTTTTCTATGAAAGCAAACAACTTTTTGCAAATAACGATGTGTATAAACGTATGGAGTAATGTCAAATGCATTGTATTAAAATAATAATTACTTTATCGAATTGCACTCATTTTCATTCAACGTCTATTTCTTTTAAAATAGCAGTTGACACATGAGTTTTCGGGTCGTCAATGACACGAGTTGGATCGCTGATACACTGAACAGCTTCTATACTGACACCCCGGGATGTTTCTCGAACGGTTTGCTGTACATTCACTGCGCAAGTTATACCAGCAGCTACGTCTTTTGTTGAATTTTTAATGCACATCGTTACACCGCTGTAGCCTATTTGTCGTACGCCTGATAGCTTTGATTTTGCTTCTTTGTAGCAACCAATAGCTTCTAACGTTCTCTTCTTATATATCATTATCTACATACGTAATAATATTTACTTCAATTGTCTGTGTTTATCAATAAGATTGAATGCTTTCGGGAGTAAAATGTGTCTTACCTTCAAAGGCATTAATGCATTATCAATTATCGACTTTATTTCACGGATTTGTTGCCGGATTAAGATAATTTCTTTCCAATTTGACGAAGACGAACAAGAGTGCTAAAAAAATTAGTTGAATCTTAAATATTTAGTCATTCAGAGTATACGCTAATACGAACTGTTGTAATATTAACGAAATTACTACTTTGAAAACTACTTTGAAGTTATTCAATAAATAATTGGTAGCTCAATTTGAATCTCTAATAATTACACTAATAGGTAATCAAATTTAAAAAAGATATTAACCATTTAACGGTATAATGTACAACTAAACTTTTATAGCTTACCTCAAACATATAACAACTTAAAATAAAAATAAACACGTAAATTTTCATTGTAATTAATTCCTATAATTTCTTTCCCTTGATACTTCACTTATTGAACTGGCTCGAAGAAACTTCCAGCGAGTCATATTTATAGCTTATGAAATCGAATCTGAGTTTACAATCTTGATATCGAACTGCAATCCACTTTGCTTTATCGATATGGATATTTGCTATTTATTGTTAACAGATCATTCCCCCTCAAATCACTTTGGTGATATAAACTATTTTAAGTGATGGGGATAAGTGAGATTAAAATCTATTTGTACTTATATACTTTTTATTTAAAGTTTTGAAAATATAATTGCATTTGCCCGCTGGCAATATTTTATCCTTATGTGCACTTATTACTATTAAGGTCACTCGCATGTGTGCATATTACAATAAGATATAGAATATTTGACTCCTTGGTTTGGCTTCGAGTACGTACAATAAATGAGTATTTTCAATTGCACCTCATTGGGCCAAGTCGATTAATTAATAATTTTTGAAAATTGACTGTAGTTAACAATAATATTACAGGATATACTGACGTATATCAGCAGCTGTCTTTTGTTAAATTTTTAATGCAACGTAGAAGTGATTATATTGAAATGAAAGGTATTCTCAGAAAATGATAATCAAATACGTATAGCAGAGCTAAGACCTGCAAATACGGTATTTAAGTAAGCCAACTAGAAAGTTAATTCGTGTTATAGAACTACAAAACTAAATCAACTTTCGTACCAGGAGGAAAATGTTACCAACAAGTAGTTTTTAAGTATCATTCATAAATGAATGATTAAGAATTGTTTTTTCATTCGCGAACATGGCCGAGCAAAGAATAAGTTAATTGACAGCGATCGGTGCTGAATTATTTTCATGGTGGCGGGGTGAATAAGGCGTTGATGGTTATCTTTTCTACGAACGATCCGAGTTACGTTCGCGAATTTGCGTATTTATTTTAATTTAAAAATGTTGCATGTTTCGGATAAACAGTAAATTTTAGATGTTGATTATACCGCAAAACGATTAATACCTTTTTTTGTTTTTTAAAATATCTGTGTAATTGTAATATAAATTATCTACAGTAAATTATTAGGCTGACATAGAAATTGCAATCAAAGTACCAATTGTTTATTGAAGAGTCGCAAAGAAATTATTATTCTTAATTTGATTGAAAAGCATTTCGTTAATATTGCAATCATTTGTCTTGGCGTAAACGCTGAATCACCAAATATTACAAATTCTAATTTTTTAGCACATTTGTTCGTTTTCGTCAAATTGGATAGAAATTATCTTAATCCAAGAACAAATCCGTGAAAGAAAGTCAACAATTGATAACGGATTAATACCTTTGAAGGTAAGACACATTTTACTCGCGAAAGCATTCAATATTATTGATAACAAGTATGCGTGTTATTGTAAACATGTACATGGGAAGGAATCGCTACTGAAAATGAATAGACGAAATATACATAACGGTGGTTATGATTCCTATTATGTCAACGTGCTGCGAAGGCGTGTTGTACAATCTCTAAAAATGGTTGAATTTTTTGACGTAAGTGAATTTCGCAGTAGTAGATAAGATTAATTGTACGAAGATTTTTATTGAATTTTTAAATTACTTGGCTTTCATTTGACAGTGTTTGACTTACTTGTCCTGCAAGTTTCAAAATATTTAATTAGATAATGTAAAATTATTTAAATAAATTTAGCGAGAAACACAAATGATTTTTATCGAGAATGGACTCGAGGACTTTCTAATCGTCAAAAATTGCTCAATTTAACAACAAGGCTTTTTAACAATCTCCCTAATTATCTCCCCTAGAGGTACTATACTTGAGCTAGGCCGCGATTGAACTCGTGACAAATAAAGAATATTTGGTTTTTTTATTTTAACGGAGTGGGGCGAAAATGTCAAGTCACTTTGTTCATAAATTGGAAAGACGCACTGATGCACTTAGTCTAGATAAGAACAGCTCTGTTTTCAGGTACACCTTTCGCTAGGTAGCTATCACATTTGTCGAGCTTTAGAATACCTGAAGAAATAGGGCCGCACGTAGATAAATCCGAAATGGTAACTAGTACATATTTTCGCACGGCTTAGATTAAAATTGGACTTTTTGTGATTAACCGTTAAGATGAATGCGCCTCTAATGTAAGCGGTAGCATTCGGCGTATCAGTTTTATGACAACGTATCGCGGTAAACCCATGTATTTAAATTTAAACGTTGAATATGACGTCACCCATAATAAATACATTGTCCTCAATTTTAAACACTTCTAAACATTTAAATTCAGCGACAATGTATTTCTTATGGGTGACGTCACAATTACACACTTAAAACGTTGAAATTTAAACACATAGGATTTTAAGGTTTTGCCGTGGTAGAAACTTTCGGTATTTGCCTTTTTTTAAATCTGCGCGCCGGCGAGTGCGCACTGTGCAGCTGGTTCTTGACGATCAGCGCCTCGAAGACCGGTCGCACTGGCGTTCTCGCGTGCTTTTGATAAGCGACTCTCTTGGAAGCCGGACGTGCGTGTCGAAAGAAACATGGTGAACTCGGGTATCAGCCGGCTTTTCGTTGGACGTGTGTCCAGCCTCGTCAAAAATGCTATCCGCGCACCTAAATTTTACTCCAGTGAGTTCATTCATTTTTTCTTTCTCAGACTTTTAATTGTTTGCATTGAGATATAACGTTTCGTGTGATTTTTATTCTTGATGTGATGTCGTCGTACGTTTGCAATTCATCATAAACTCTCTTCATACCATCTTTTGTAAACATCGTTGGGTAGCAACAAGAAGCATTAAATAGCTGTACTATCATTTTCTTTTGAATATTGATAGGCAAGTTTATAGATTAGCATGGAAACCATTGGAAATTTATCTAATTTATAATTACGGTATCTATCGTCTAATTTTAACTTGATCGATTGATATTGTTGCACACAAAACTAGTTCCAAATATAAATCCGATTTTAGCATAACCGGTTTGACGACTCCAATATGTTTTACAACTGCGAACAACTTTTTTTGATTATTTAATACCTCGAGTAATTATTTTACAATCATAGTAAATGAAATTTCATTATGAATTGCTCTCAAAGTGAAAAATAATGAGTACGTTTTGTAACAGACACTTGTTGCTGTGTCAAGTACTTACTACACGCTAATCTATCTATCTATTATTATAAATATCTTTCAATATACAAAGTACTCGAAAACTTCGAGAATTATTAATTCTTAATTTTCGAAGTTTTTTTTAGCTTTCATTAATTAAAATTAGCTTTAATCAAATGGTCGATTCATGCTTCAACGAAGTATTTAAAAGTTCCATGACGTCTGTCCGAGATAAAGAAGAAACGAGAGTTATCGGCTCATTGAATCAATCGCTCCGTGTGGAAAGTTGCGTAATAAAGCTATAACGCCGGCACTTGTTGCACGGAATCAACAGAATATTAATTTCGTGGTTTTCGTCTAACAAACACTCGGCTAAAGATTGCGAGAGACAATTCTACGATGATGCTTTCTAAATATTTTATAGGAATGATTTCTATATAATATACATATCGTTGTATTAGAATAATTACTGGAAAGAAATTATTTTGACTTTTGTAATGTCTTATTTGTTATAAAAATGTTGTAGAAAAGAATTAACTCATTTTATTCGCATTGATTTTAATCGATAACTATGATTTATTGAACTTTAATATATATTTTTTTCAAACTACCATGACGAAAAAAATATTATTGTTTTTTTTTAAATATATGTAACCATCAATTACATAATCCATCAAAATTTTAAATAAATACATGAAAATGTATGTAGCATAAAAAACTTCACAAAATTCCTTATTATTCACCCTAGTAATCCTAGAATATTAAAACATTGTACTATATATGAATTTCCGGATTTTTGTATTTGGATGAAGACAAATAAGTTCAGTCATTTTGGTACAACAAAATAATCAGATCTATATTTTGCCCGAATCTATATTTTGCCAGAATATATTTTGCCCGAGATCGTTTTATTTTGTTTTCTTTAGGTAAGAAGGCATACATAATGGAAAAATAGCCTTGAATGATAAAGGTGTCGGAACATTGTTTATTGATAATTTAAAGATGAAAAATTACTTATTTATTTATTTCTGTGTTTTGTTTTCTAATTATCGTATCAAAATAAGCCTATCGGTATTAGATTTATGAGAAATTTTATAAAAACATAAATATATAAAAAAATTAATTAAATATTTTTTTAATAATAGTATCTCGCATTATTTGCAAGAATGTCAGGTGTATTTTGTACAAACATCAATTCTACATAGCATAATTCCACGTGAATTTTTAAATTTTACTGAAACATGTTTTTTTAATCGAACGGATAACATAAATTAGTATTAATGAGAAACGAAAATACCTTTGAACGTGTAAACTTTATATGGAAAATACGTTTGGAAAATAGTGCCCAAATTCTATTTAAAATATATTTCCATGAAAAAATTATTAGTTGTCAAAATTACATTTCAGATGGTCGTTAGTTTGTTATTAACGAACGATGAAATGTACGATTATATCCTGTAAAATATTTTATGCCAATTAATCTTTTAATTTTTTTTAGAAAGATATAATATCAGATAATACTATAGTTTTTAAGAAAATAGTATTTTATTTCCTGCGTTCAGTGTAACACAGTATGTTAAATAAACAAAATTTTTAATATCTTCTTATTTGTACAAAACAAATTCATTTTTAGTGAGTTTTATTATTGTTTTAAAAATCAGTAAAGTATTCTACAGCAAATAATGTAGAACTAGTTTGATTTTCCATAAGTTAATTGCTTACAACTCAATGTGCTGCGAAGCTTTAAACTTGGTGATATATGGCCGATATCTCACAAACTTCAGATTTTATTATAAAAAAATATTTTTTTTTAATATTTTGAGCACATGTCTGAAATTTTTTGTATACGTTCTTTTAGCGGTTAGAATATAAAATTCAGCGTGCTGAAACATTTTAAAGCAATGCACTATACGTCATTAACAATTTTTATACGTTTTTGAATTTTTTCGTTATTTTCAACTTATTTTCGAAGAATAAGTTAGTAAATCATATGAAATAACAAATAAAAAAATCAGTGTAGTCAAATTACAAAAAAATATTTATTGCACGTGAAGGTTGTGCGACGAAATCCGCCACCAAATTGTGCACTTTGTAGACATCGAAAATCAAAAATTGTTTTAATCTAATTCTGAACAAACTTTTTCAATAAACTAAATATCATCATTCTAATAAACTGAGTGTAAATGATTAATTTTAAAAATAAAGAAATATTTAAATATTTTTTAAATAAAAAATTTACCTAAAACTGTGCACCGATTTTTTTAGTGAATTTCGTTATATAAGATTCATCTTGCATAATATTTTTTATGATAATACATTTTACATTTCGATACAAAATATAATTTATTAAATATAACAATTTTTCACACGTCATAATGTATTATAAAAAATTCACAATGATTTCAAGAATAATAAAAAATATATAACAATAACAATTAAACATGACAAACTCGAATTCTAATTTCTTTTAGTATATTTACGTACAGGACAAGTTCTTGTATTAACATGTCTCAATTTTTACACTAATTTCTCGCTGCTGTTTAACCTTATTATTTTGTTTCCTAAGACTTTTCTGCTTTTGGTTTTTATTTTTTGGTTTTCTTTGATTTTTTGCTTATGCCTTGTGAGCAATCTTTTGTACAGTCTTTGTAACTTTTTGGTTTTTTACAGACTTTTGAAGAAGTTTCTGCTTATTTGCAGAATTTCGAGCTACCTTTTACATTTTATTATTTATTTTTGCAATATTTACTTTTTTGGTTTTACTATTATATTCAACAGATCAGCTGCTTGGTTGCAATGTAAAGTAGCTATAGGGAAGATTATACAAACTATCCAATACACAAGAAGAACAGGATAAATAAGGAAAATTTAAAGACTTTTTCTTGGTTTTTGATCAAATCAATTGAAAAATTGTTATCGTATTTAGGTACGGTTTTAAATTATCATTTACTAAGCTTAAAAATTATTGATATCTTCTTTCAAAATAAAAAATATTTGTACTTTTAATTTTTTCAATTTTACTAAAGTGACAATTTATCTAGTAGGTGTTATATCTTGTTCATTTGCAACAGCTCAATCGTCATGACTCAGAGTAGTATAATTCCATCTAATTCATGACTTTCACAAGAGTATTGAAACAAATAAAAATTAGTCTTATTTTTATACTGAGTCGTTTATATTTTTGTCTATGTATTTTTATCCTCAAAATGTGGTGTTGGCGTTGGCTAAAATATAAAAAATTTGACGTGCACGGTGGATGCTTATCTAATCTCTGAATCTAAATCGATTATTCTAGCGCTAATCTTTTCAGAAGGCACAGAGAATTTTCAATTATAGATTCCACTCAAACCTATAAAGATCCTATTGATTCAAGTTCTGAGTTTTAAACTAAGTATCAATTCTATCCAACTTGTTTTGCAACAAGAGGAGCGAGCGATACGGAATTGAGAAAACTGATTTAAAGAAAGGTTACTAATAGGAAATTCTGTGTTTTATAAATTAAATTTGAACTTACTTTTATTAAAATTGAAATTTGTCTTCACAATTTAAAACAAAAACCGAAACTTGAAAATTTGAGCCTTGCACGCTCACAACTTAAAAAGAATTAAATAAACTGAGTCCCAAAAATAGTCCTTGCCACTGAGAGAGAGAAGGTCTGGGGAGCGTGATAGTTCTGACTGTGGATGGCGTAGTAGTGGCCAACAGTTTGCGCATTATTTAACACAATCCCTCGGGATGCGCTTTAGTCGTAAAATATGTACAAATAAAGTTCAGTATTAATATTAGTTATCCGACGTTACAATAAATTATAAAAAAAAATGTATCAATCTTTTATAATTTTCTATAGTAGCGATTAAACCCTTAAAATCAATTTGACGATCAAATTAAAGACTAACATAACAATTTGATTTCGCAGCGGCAACGTCACCAGTGTCCTATGAGTTGATTAAAGTAGAAAAGACCGGCGAGAAGCAAAACGTTGGCATCATCACATTAAACCGACCAAAAGCCTTGAACGCGTTGTGCGCTCAATTGATGATCGAAGTGAACGATGCAATCGAAAAGTTTGATAGCGATGAAAGCGTCGGTGCTATTGTTATCACTGGCCAGGGTAAAGCTTTTGCAGCTGGTGCTGATATCAAGGAGATGGCTGACAACACTTATGCACAGAATATAAAGAAGAGCTTTCTCGAACATTGGAATGGCGTTGCTAAGGCTCGGAAACCTACCATTGCTGCTGTTAATGGATATGCTGTAAGATTGTTTATTTTTTTTAGTTTTAGAATTGTTTATTATTGTTTGAAGAAATAAGAAGTTCCTTATTTTCTTTTGGTACTTCATTTGACCTGAAAAAGAGAAACTTATATTGTAAAAACGAGGAGTTCATCTTACAATAAAATTGTTTCTTATGACAGGGATGTTTCCATGGCCGATGAATGCCCAACGGAACATCAAAGTATTTTAATGTATTTTGGCCGCTTGAGTCAGAAAATCGAGGTGTTTTGCCGTTGGAAGCGACGGTAATTCTCTATTAATAATTTTAACGTTTAAAACTGTCAGTTATTGCCTAACAAGTAACCACTAAACATGAATTTTTAAGGACGGTCTTTTGAAAATTGCTTTTCTTTAGATTTTCGTCAAACTTTGAAAATAAATTTTTCTATTTTTATTATTTATACAATGGAAATAATTTTATCATACAGACAACGGTATTTAAAATCGAGATTACAGTCAATTTTCTTTAGATTTTTATGAAAAAATAATATATTATTCTAGTGATTATAAAGAAAGAGTACGGTGCTTTTTCAAAAGTCACAGCTATCGAGATTTTTCTTCTGGCTATAATAGTATATCAATACAATGGTGGAATCTACGCAAAATTTTATAACATTTTATAATTTTATTGATTTTTTTACTATTTCCATGCAGTTTTATCATATTTTAATATGTATCATCTTCGAAAGTTTTTAAATGTAAACATTGTTGCTAACCCAACATTTTTATGAAATATCCATTTAAGTTTAATATAAGAAAATTTTTTAAACAATACGAAAATATTTAAAAAGATTCAGTTGCTTCATATCGCTTCTGTATTTATCTTCTTGATACAATTATTAATAAAATTCGCAAGAACTTTCCAATATTTAATTTCCTTTAATAAATATCAATATTTTCGAAAGATGTTAGAAACATAGCAGTAATATGTTATAGTTTTTGCTTTGGAAAATATTTTATTAATTGTCTTACGACGGTTTCTTAAAATATTGTTGTAATGTGTTTTTAAATAGTTCTGTTATTATTTGCAACGATAGTTTTTAGAAGATTAATAATTTTCTTTGACAATTAGATATTTAATTAAAATTTTAACAAAATAATTAATGTTATTTAATAATGCTTTTCTAATGCTGTGATTTTTTTTCTGAAGCTTAAATATTAAATGTTGCCTTCTTTCAAAGAAAAAAAAATAGTATTTATTTTAGTTTTTAATATTTGGAGTTTTTTTTAATTTATCATGATGAGTATTGGATTAAAAGAAGTAAATTACTTTTAAAGTAATTAAAATTTATTCTAAAAATAAATTTTAAAATGAATTAAAGTAAATGATTAATTTTAGAAGTCTTAAGAATCGCCCTCTACTGCCTAAAATATTGGTATCGACGCCTAGCGTCCTCACGACTATACAGTCCACGACCACCCGTTCGCATTTCGCAACGGTCTCTAACTAACCATCTTCTCTTCTTACGCTTATGTACCATGGAGACTATCTTGAGACCATAAACAGAATAGTCAGCACAATATATAAGCAGTGACGAACCGAATCGTGGGACCATCCTCCCACCCTGTTCTACGTAATTAACAGCACCACCTTACTAGTGAACCGTAAACAAATTACTGATGAGTTAAAATATACTGATTAAATTACGATTTTATATATTTGACAATATATGATTATCTAATGTACATAAATATGCAATAAATTACATACTCTTAATCTTAAAAAATACATTCGCATAGTATTCACATAGTATTTACAATGAACGTTATAATTAGAATTTAGATTGAATAAAATTTATATTAGAATTTAGATTGAATATAGATCAGTTGATTTTTATACCTAGCCTTTCGCATAGATGCGCGCCAAATTAAAGTCACACATTCGGTTAAAAAACGTGTTAAATTGAATTAAAATATGTATAAAATGTAGAATATGGACAAATAAGCATACCTTAAATAATCAAAAAGGGGTCATTAAAATTAATAGATTTAACTAATTCATTTAATGATAAGTTTTCCTGTAAAAAGAAAAACGTAATATGTGTTATTTATATTTTATTATTAGATTTCTTTCATAGAAGTTTAATTGAAAAGTGATTTTCAGTAATTAGAACAACTCATTCTCAAATCTTTAGAGAAATAAGAATTTACCAGGAACAGCAGCAAACATAGTTACGTAGTTAAAGGCCAGAGTGACGAAAATTGGAAGCCTCGGCGTGTACACTCCCTGAAAAATGTAATCCCCATGAGGGCATCTTGAAGCATGTACTCTGTTACAAGCATCTTCATTATAGCAATCCTCATTGTAGAATTTTCGTGTCATTCAAGAATCCCTTTCGTCTCTCATCTCTTCGGCCTTTTTCGACTGATTAATATAATATTGTCTTAAATCAATAGATAAAGGAAGTTTTAGGGAATAAATAAGTTCTTTCATTCCCAAAAAGTGATCAGTATCTTGAGAATAATCAATATTACACGTTCGAAATAAACGTTAAATTTGAATTTTGAAATATGCACTTTATGACAAGATTTCCAAAGATATTTTGTACTTAAAATTGTCTATATTTATTAAAAACGTTGTCTCAAGCAAATAACCTCAATTACAATAATTGTTTAAACAATTGTTTTATTAACAAAACCTATCCACTTCTCACAAAAAATTAGCTAGTATTATTGGATTTAACAGATCAAAATACATAAGATTAACTGATTTTTACTTTTTGTTTCTGATGCATACAGGTTCATACTCACACCTTGGACTATGACATTATAGTCGTGAAAACCACTTTTATTTTTTATCTCCAAAAAGAGAGGCAATGTCTCAGTTTCAAGTTTTTCTTTTCCGAGCGCGCGTAAAATTTTCTTTGTTTCAGCGAAACGAAAATAAAAAGTCAATTGCACAAAAAAACTTTCATGATATTCCAGCTGGGTGGAGGTTGCGAATTGGCAATGATGTGTGACATCATCTATGCGGGTGAAAAAGCCAAGTTTGGCCAGCCGGAGATTGCAATCGGCACAATTCCTGGTGCAGGTGGCACTCAACGTCTAACACGTGCCGTCGGCAAGAGCAAAGCTATGGAAATTGTGTTGACTGGTCAACAATTCAGCGCTCAGGATGCTGAAAAGAGTGGACTCGTCAGCAAAGTCCTACCCGATGACCAACTCGTTAGTGAAGCTGTGAAGCTAGGTGAAAAGATTGCTGCTCACTCGCAGGTCGCGGTTGCTATGGCCAAGGACTCTGTCAACAAGGGTGAGAGATAATTATCAACATTTATTTCAATAATGTTGCTTTTTTTGCGTTTTGTAACAAACACACAAACTTACGATTATTTATTTATAAACAATTAAGCTTCCAAAAATAATATCGCTTAACAAAAAAATACGGTTAACTATCCATGGTGTAAAATATAAATTTATATACTATTTCATAAAAGAATTTAAGAAAAGAAAGACCTGTAGAAAAAATCGTACAAGTCAATCAAAACAAAAAATTATGAATTAAGTCATTGCAAACGACAGTTTGAACGTCTTTCTATAAACAATAAAAAATTATGATAAGTGACAAACATTTTTTCCCTAGGGTATAATAATACAAAAAAGTTTATCCGAATCACTCTACCATAAATAACTATTGTAACATCTTCTTTTTCACATTTGTTTTTCTTTCGTATAATCAATTATAACAGCGATGAAAAACGAATTTGATTATTTTGAATAACGGAGTATTTTATGGTAAATTTCACGGAACACAATTTCGGCTCTATGAATTTTAATCGAAGTACTGATATTTTTCGAGGAAATGTCGAAAAAAAGGTCTATTTTTGCATTTTTCACTGTAAACGGTTATTATGCAAAACAAACAACAAAGGAAAAACCACGATCGATATACCATTCTTTTCGTTATGATATTTTTGAGTGATTGTAACAATAAAATTGTTTTCCACAAGTATAGGTGCGTCTCTAACATTTTCAGACTCATTCGATCGGTCACAACGCTTAAATCTTTAATTTGTTGTTTTTTGACTTGGATAATCTCATTCGTCTGGATGCTTCTGTTTTCAGCTTACGAAACCACTTTGCAGCAGGGACTGGACTATGAAAAGAGGCTATTCTGGGGCACTTTTGCGCTCGTGAGTTTTCATGTTTCTTATCGCTGTCATTATCGTATTTTTAGTTGCATATTACAGATTTTTATTCATTTTAAAAATGCAAATGCGATATGCTACTCACTATTGAACTTTTCACAAGATTTCACAGTGATGGTTATTACTTTTTACTGAATAATTATTATACCTCATATTAGTCCAGCCACTTTGGTACGAAAAAATAATTGCATTTATATTTCGCCATAGTATATTACACGTTATTTATTATTGTTTTCAATAGAAAAAATACCAAGAAACGCATTGGAACAAGAAATTTTTAGATAAAATTCAAACTTTTTGATTTATAAATCAATGTTTGTAACAGAAAGTTGATAAAATCGTTATCAACAGATACATTGGTTTTGAATAATTATAATCATGAAGTAAATGTTATTTTGAGCATTTAAAAAAAAATTCATCTCGATTGGTCCAATAGGCACCAAGATATTTGCTTTAAATAAAAGCGAGTTTTATTTAATTGACAATAACTTTTGAAAAAATTAACACATTAGCTTAAGATTTGGCAGAGAAGTTTAACTTGATATATCTAACAAATGTATATCAAGTATGATTAAAATCGATAATGTTAAGGTAGAGACTTGATCGAAATAATTTAGAATATGTGTTGGTGCACTTTCACGCTCCTCACTTATCATATGATTGACAATTGAACAGTGTTCAGCAATACATTTACTTTCACTACAGATCTTTTCGAAAACTACATCTTTATTCAGAACAGTAGTACGTATACTTAGAAATGCATTTCTGAACAAAGATATATTGCTCAAAAGGATTTGAAGTAGTTCTAAGAACTGCTCAATTTATTACAGTTATAATTTCGAATGGCTCATACACTACCTCGCGATATGCACGCCCGCATATTTAACGATGTGCAGTGGCTTTTAAAATTATTATATCTTGGCTATTTATGCATGAATCCTGACAAAAAATGTATAGCAGTCGCGGAACGGCTGGCAAGAAGGAAGCTGAAAATTAATCGTTTTATAATTTATGAAGTCGCGATGAAACGTAAATGAAAATTAACAATTATCTGAAAACGAATCTAAGCCGTTTTTATTAATGACACCGGCCCAGAGAGATCTATACTTTCGATAAAATCCATGAATGACTAATGTGCATGTATTTTGATGCACGTATTTTTCGGGCGAAATATAAATCCATATATAAGATGGACTGGACTATATCATTTGAACGCTGCTAAATTATCCTACATAATAATTATTCAATGAATTGTAATTATTCAAATACTTTTATACTTCTTGTATATTGAAAAGATGTAATAATTTTAATGAATTTTTGAGCCACTAGCTCTTTGCGTTGACAAGGAAAATATACTTCAGATTATTTTTTTTATAATATGTGCATAATTTTTTACAATAGTTTTTAACTTTCTTAAGAATTGCAAATAATTGAAGTATTTAAAATGACTATGAATATTTAAGCAAAAGATATCAACGTATTTTCCTGTACTAACAATTATTTCGTGTGGATTGCAGGCCGATCAAAAGGAAGGTATGAAGGCTTTCGTGGAGAAGCGCGCTCCTAAGTTTACCAACGAGTAGATCCAAGGCCTGGGATGTGATATCCAATATGCATTTTGTATTTTTTTTATTCATTTTTTTGTGAAATATTTGTTTCGCCTTTTGTAACAATTTCTACAGACTCAGAAAAATGCTATTGCATAAAATACCCATGTTCCAAATTCTTTTTCATTGCTATTTTTCTAAAATCTTGGAATAATCATTCAATCGCTATTATGTACAGAAAGTAACGTCTGCTGTAAATAATGCTTGAAAATAATTGATATTTTGAAAAGATTTTGAAAAAGAAAGAATTGAAAATTATAAATAAAAAGCTAGATGTTTTTTCCCGTAGAATAGATTGACTTTTTGGGACCTAGGTGCATTTTTATAAACAATTGCAAACGCTAAATTAATGAACACAGGTAGTTTTTCCCTATATTATGGTAATTACTCCTTAATGGGTTCGTATCTACCTGTAAAAACAGGACTCGTCTACTTGGACGCACACAATAAAGAGATTAAAGCAGCGACGTCTGCCCCACCCACTTTCACCAATTTTCGAAATTGATGACTAGACGGTCCATCTCTCTCCGCGAGAGCGCGCGTAGTGGGAGAGACTAGCGTGGACGCACCAAAGCCACATTGTGGCCACACAAAGACAAGGCTGGAGGGGCATGCGCCAGAACGATTGGCGGTGGACGGCACCACATGGAGAGTATCCTACGGCGAAACTAGCGGCAGAAGGGGCACGATCCAATGTGCGAAACGCAGTGAACGCCTGCACGGATTTCGCGACCTGCTGCTTAATGAAATGTCTGCGACTATATAATGTGAAGACTGCTACTGCTGCGATTACTGTGTGACTCTTTCGTACGGCATAGCGATTTTATTTTGTCTGCACAAAATTATAATCTGAAAATTGCCAAAATTCGTAACTCTGCTCGATAAAAGTTTTTGTTAATTTTCGAAAATAAAAAATTTCATAAGATTTCAAGAGTACATGTATCGGTTCATAGGCTTTGATACTCATTAGGAATTGCTAGAAAAAATTCTAGAAGCTATTCAGGGAATCTGCGTGGCGACCGATGATTTTTGGCATTTTTAGCAATATTTTCGTTAATAATATTTTTTTAAATCCATGGCGACCTATAATTTTGAATATGATAATCGCTTCAGAATTATAGATTCTAAGAAGGTTCAAACATCAGAAGAAAAACAACTTACACGTAAATAGTATAGCTAGAATATTGGAAACGACTACTAAAACGAATCAACATATAAGTACAAAGCAAAGAAATTTCAATAGAAAAATACAAGTTATAAAAGAATTTAAGAAAAATAATCCTGACAACATGTTCACTAATGCTCATGAAGGCAAGAATACACAGAAAGAATTAATGCTTTATTAGAAGACAAAATTACTTATATCAAAGTGAAATCTAACCCATTGAAAAAACTACAAGTTAAAAATATTTTTAAAGAGCGGAATAATAATAATTTTCTACGTAGATAATTTCATAATAATGAACTCATACAAATGGATACCTCAATAGCTACATGCTACGGATTACGAAAAATACACAAACTAAATATACCATTACGTCCTATTATTTCCTCAATCAACAGTCCTAGACATAAATTAACCAAAATCATATACAATTCCTTAAAATCAGTTATCAAGAAACCAGATTTTATACTTCCAACAATTACCAATTTAAAGAAAAATTAAAAAATATTAACATTCCAGATAATCATGTTCTAATATCTTTAAATATAAGTTCATTATTTACTAACATTGTGTGACTTAGTGTTGAAAGGATTAAATAAGCACTTTACGGATATTAATCAATGTAATATACCCTTGAATAAAATTAGACGTGCGGTAAAATTTCTATTTAATAATAACTATTTTGTTTTGAACAATACTTATAATAAACAAACTTTTGGAAGTCCAATGGGTTCACCAATTTTTCCTTTATTACAAGATATTGTCATGGAGAATTTAGACAGGAACTGCTTAAATATACTATCAAGACAATTTCAGTGTATTTCATTATTTTATTTTAGATACGTAGACTATACAATAATGAGCATTCCAGAAGATAAAATTAACTTGGTTGTACAAACGTTTAACTCTTATCCTAGATTACAATTCACGTTTGAAATTGAAACTAATAATTTTATTGCATTCCATTTTTGAATTTAAAATTAATTAAAACAATAATAAATTAGAATTCGACTGGTTTCAAAAAACAACTCAAACAGGCAGAGTTTTAAATTTTCACTCTAATCATACGATTCAACAAAAAGTCAACATTCTTGAAAAGAATGTTTTTTTTAAACCCTTTTAAATGATGTATATTATAATTATGCTAAAATATTTTTCTTGTGCACAGCATTGAGACAGAAAAGTGCAATAAAAATCTTCTGATTTGAAATGAAATATTATTTTCATGACTGTTGAGTTTCATGAAACCTATATTGTATTACGACTGGTTCTTAATATTTTTTACATGAGTCAGATTTTTTGTCGATTGAGAACGTAATCATATGCATGCAATGATATTTGATTTATAATAAAAAGAATAGCTCTAAGTATATTTGATCTTTTTTATTTTTTCAAAGTGAAAAATGAAATATTTAAAAAATTAGGATACATAATATTATGACTGAAAAAAAATGTTTTCATATGATTATGAAAAATTTTTTGCGTATTTACTTTACAAAATAGAGCATTTTCATTCCTGTAATCTTTTTGCTACGATTCGAATTTTCCAAGATCAAGAACAATGAATATAGACGATGAGACTTTGTTTCTGAAGGAAACAGTCATATAATCGCTGAATTTAAATCAAAAATATTTTTGAACAAGTGCTCTGCATAGTGCAAGAAAAGAGCTACAAGATGGTTTTTTGTAATTTTTTCAACAATTTTTTTTCTTGAAATGGCGAACTGTTATATACGACAAAAATTTCGTAATTTTTGTTTTGATTTTTGCCTCGCTATACAAAAAAAATATTTTAGTATAATTTTAATATACACAATTTAAAAGGGCTTGAAAAGATCTTTCAAATGAACTACCGCAAAGCTTTATAGGATTCGTTTTCAGCCAAGATATGAAGCTTCAAAATTACAATCGTTTTGTTCTCGGGTGGGAAAAAATTATTGGACGGGAGTGTATATAAAAACTGTTGATTTTTATTAAAATTGAAGTATCCTTAAATGTAATTGAATCCGTGTTTTGTTCATGCACTTTACTACTTTTTATTGTAACGTGCATTCGGTATTTTCAGTATGTTGAAATAGTGGGTTTCTGTTATGACACGAAAGTCTTGATGAAAACATTCTATAGCTTTGTTTGGTTTCTACACTTTCTGTGCATTCACTATTGCAATATCTTTGGCCAAAAACTCAATTTCTTTACTTACTGTAGTTATAGCGGCTCATGTTATTTAGATTAGTTACTATTTAGTTATTTTTCTTCATAATTTCCAATGTCGATTCGGCCAGATTCGTTTCGTGCAGATATAAATTCTACACGATTAAATTCTACACAAATTTTTCATTTTATTTATTTAACGTAATGCTTTTTTAATTGAACAGAATAAATTAAATAGTGTGTCTCAGAAATAGATTATTCAAGAAATTATTGAACATGTAGGCTTTCTACAGATAGTTCCATTATAAATTAATTTATCCAAAGTATTCTACATAAAATATATTTGTGCAGGAATAAATAAATGTTTTTAAATTTTATTCAAGATTGTCAATTATTGAAGAATAATCAAATATATGATTATATTATGTAAAATATCTCACATCAATTAATCGTCTGTTAATGTTTCTATAGAATGATATAATGTTAGATAACATTTAATTTGATAAAAAATAGTAGTTTATTTTTCAAAAGAAAAACTTTATGTTAAATAAATAAAATTTATAAATTCGTGTAAATTCAAAACAATGAATCGGTTTAGAATCGGTATCTGTACGAAACGAACCCGTCCGTCAATTGATTGTGCATGGCTAATAAATAAAACAAAGTAGAATGGTTTTATAAAAACGAAATTGTTCATTCATCTAAATATTATTATAATTTTCGTCAATGACGAGATTTAATAGATTTAATAGATTATTCATGCAGTAGGTCAATGTTGTTTACCAACAGTAAAGTTCAAGTAATCCTCATGACATCATTTATCCACTCACGTGTATTTAAAATGATACCAGAAAAATATTTGATTCCAAACATAAAAAAGTCAGTCTATAAAATTCTAATATTTCGAAATGAAATTTTATTGTCATAGGTAACGCATTAGTGCTTCTTAAACATGTTACACTACAAAAGGTTTGCAAACATTTTGTAAAATTTTTAGTAAGAAGGTATTCTTTAGTCACAAGCGTCAGTTCTGAAAATGAATTAGTAAAAATTGTATTATTTCATATTTATCTGAACAAATGGTCACAAGACTTTTTATAAAAACAAGTGTATTTTCTTACATGAAAAACATTTAGACGGTTTTGACGAGTTTGATATCAATTTGTCATGTCTCTCTCTCTCTCCATTATGATCATGTAAATTTACATGCCTTGATTATTTTCTAAATGAGCAATACGAAGAAAACGCCCAGAATTGTGGAAAAACAATTCATGGCTTTTGCATCACGATAATGCCCCTGCTCACTCATCTTTGCTTGTGAGAGATTTTTTGGCCAAAAACAACACCGCAATCATGCCTCAGCCACCATATTCACCGGATTTGGCCCCATGTGACTTTTTCTTGTTCCCAAAACTAAAGAGACCTATGAAAGGACGGAGATTTGCAACGATTGAAGAGATAAAGACTGCATCGCTGGAAGAGCTCAAGGCTATACCGAAAAGTGCTTATGAGAAGTGCTTTGAGGATTGGAAAAACCGTTGGCATAAGTGTATTATATCTGAGGGGGATTACTTTGAAGGGGACAACATAAATACTGATAAATAAATAAATATTTTTTCTTAAAAATACGAAGTCACCTTACTTTTTGAACACACCTCGTATATAATACATGTACACATATTATATAATACATGTAAAATCTATAAAATTTTTATAAAAAATATATAAAATATATATAAAAAATAACAATAATAAAAATAATATAAATAATATATATAAAAAATATATAAAATATATAAATATATTATTGAATATCGTGCAATATTAACAATAAATGAGCAATACAAATTCTTTGTGTTACGACCTTTTACTATGTTACTGAAAAATTTTTCCTAGAATTTTGCACGTTTAGCTAAAAACTTTGTTTATTACAAGTAACAGCAGAAAGTATTTGTATTTATTAATTATTTTGTTTCCTTTTCAAATAGCATAAATTCTTAAAATTTGTGCTGAAAAAATATTTTTTTTTCGATAATCTTTTTGTTTTCGTGCCTAGTGGCAACACTTTCTAAAATATAAGTTTACGAGTAATATGAGAGTTTTGCCAATTGAAGTTCAATTTTCTAATTAGTTATTAAATATTAGAGATGGAATATTAAATTACAATGAACGTTATATAAATATTCTATAACATTGTTTTTTTAAATCGTATTATCCTATATTATGTAAATAAATACCCTTTTTCTTTAGAATAAGAGAATTTCCATTAAACTTGGCATTTTCCATAACAACAATCTCAAGGACAAACATTTAATAATGTTATTGTTGATCTACGCAGGGTTGTTTTTCGTAACGCAACAATAGATAATTTTTGTTTTTGAATCATAAAAATAGAACTACTTCAACTATTATAAGAATGCAAATTTCATAAATTTGTTTTAAACAATGCTTCTGGAAAAAAATGCAACTTATAGCATGAAATTCCAATACAGTAAAATTGAATATTGCGAAAGAATTGGGAACCGTATGAGTTAATTGTTATAGCAATTGATTTGATTATTTTTCTTAAAATACATTTTTTATGTCATTTTAACATTAGTATATTGTGCACGTTGGATTAGTTATGTGTATGGCAGTAAAAAATAAAAATTATAATAGTGGTAAATTCAACTATAACAGTTAATGATATCTATAAACAAAAAAAAACGAAGAACTTCACATTGAAGAAGTCTCTATCCTAGTGGAGGGAGAAGTTTGATGGAATAGAGGTTGAATATTTAAAAAGATAAACATACATTTGTAATATTTATAAAACTAATTTAAATTATGTATGTCTAGTATAAATTATGTAAAACACCTTCGAATAGCTCCAATACGTTTTTGGAAAAAAATGAAACGAATTATTACAAGCCAAAAAACTTTATTTTACAGTCACAACACTACAATTCTTATAATTCTTACAGTACAAAAGAAAAAACAATTCCTATTGTCAATTTTCTTTTCGTTCTTAAATTTAGAATATCGTAACATCAAAATTTCGTCATATTATCGTAAGTAATTTTATACTTTATTGATGTCATTTGAAACTCTACCGGCTTTATCATTTGATAAAACATCCTCATAGTCATGTATTTACGTCAAATGTATTAACGGACGTCACCTCAATCATGCCACTCCTCATCGTCATATAAGAAATCATCCGGATCAAAGTTCTCAAAAATATCTTGTGAAATGTTATCGCGCGGCGCAGCAGGATTCTCCTGTGCACGTGCCTCCGGCTCCTCGTCCAAAATCCTGTCACGTTGCAAATCGGCATTATCCGCGTTCGAGCGTCGAGCAGCCTTGGAGAAGAGTCCTGAGCTAGCTTTCTGCATTTTTGTAAATGTATTTTTCATCGCGGTAACTGCCGCGCTGCGCTTATGAACTCTACGGTTTTCCATGTCGCGCATCCTTTCCTCGAGTTTCGTTTTTATGCGAGCCAAATTGTCAAACTTCTCGTCTTTCTTCCTATATTCCTCGTGGTATTTCTGCTGCCTTACGAACGAGTTCGCTATCAATTCTTCATTTTTCTCCGATATCTGCGATAGGAACTGGTTCGTAATTTTTTTGTCAGACTCCATTTGTCTGACCGATTTCTGCAAAATTTCAACTTCGGTGAGAAGTTTGCGATTCTGCTTGGTTAAGTCGAATATCTTTAAATCTCTATCCACCATTTGCTTACGGAAATGTTTCGACATATCGTCAGCCCTCAATTTCTCTTTGCGGTATTTGTCCATCAGTACATTAAAATCGTCCTGGCGAGGAGCGACTTCCTCCGATGATTTACTCTGCTGCTTCAACTTCAAATTTGCCTCTTCTAATTTGCTCTCCAATAAGTTTTTCGCCACCAGCAGACTCTGATAATCATTCAACCTTTGCACATGTAACTTGACGGAGTGCTGCTTCAGTGGACTCTGTGCTGCACTCTCGCCCAAATCGTTGCCGCTGGTATGATCTCCGTCATATTTGTCCAATTCCACTTGCACTTCCTTTTCAATTTTCTCGTCCGTCTTGTCCTTGGACTTCAAGTCTTGTAGCAGATTTTCAGCATTTTTTAACAAATCTTTCATCTCCGTCTTTTCTCTGTTTGCCGACACCAACTGTTCTTCGAGCTGAGCAACCCTTGCATTTAAATCTGCAATGACAGATTCTCGCTTTTCCTTCTCCTCTTCCAAATGGCTAATTCGAAGCGAACTCTCGAGCACAGAGTTCTCTTCGACAGTCTCCAATTGCTTTTCAATCTCAAGTTTGAGCATGTGCGACCTCATACTCTGCGACAGTTCCTCAGAGAGACTGCTGTTGTTAGGCGGTTGGAATGACTCGTCGTCCTCGGTGTCGTAGCACTGTTGTGACGACGCGTTCATAGAGCTCGAAAGTGTAATGCGGCTTTCTGAAAGAAAACAACGTTCGCAATTAATTCTTCGTTTCGTACAACAATTTTCAGTCGATATTAGAGAGTGGGAATACCGGAAAAATTTGAACCCGAAAAAATAGTATTCGGCACTCTTTATAAAAGAAAATAGTACGTGAAAATTACCTAAATCAAGATTTTCCCCGTAAAGTATGGAGTTTTGCTGGAAATTCATTTCGTTAGCAAGTTCTAACTCGCTGCATTTTTGCTGTAACCTGCAATACTCCGCCTTCAAAATCTGCAGCTTATCGTCGGCCTCTTCTTTGTAGGATTCCATTTGGCTGGCGAGATTATCATTTTTCTCTTTTAGCAATCGAATGTTCTGCTCCGACTCTGCTAGGCGCATTTTGTAGGGTGACATTTTCTTGAGCTGTTCCTTGTAACTGGCAATCTCTTTATTGGCCTCTTCGTGTTTTTGGGTCAATTCAGACAATTCCTCCAGTGTGCCGCGATAAGACTTTAACTTGGCAACTGCAAAGCCAAAAGGGAATCGTGATTACGTGGTGAAAAGGATGTCTCAATGGGATAATTAATAAAAATGTAGCAACTTACATAATTGTACTCTATGGGCCTCGACCGCAGCCAGCTGACGTTTGCAAGATTCTAGTTCGTCAGCCAACGACGTAGCCTCAGCCTTCCACTCGTTCAGCTCCTTCTTGCAAATTCGTACATCATGGTGCGCCGAGAATGAGCGCACTTGCATAAGCAGCTCGTGCCTTTCTTGGCTCATTCTATAGACCGCCTGGATAGCTTGTTGAACCTTCTGCTTATGACTCGGAAAAGATTGCTCATCGTTTTCGGGACCCCCGATCAACATGTCTTCGTTGAGTACTATTTCGGGCACGTATAACACCTGAAAAATCGATTTTCCAAATTACGTAAACTTTATGAAATTTTCTGGTGCTATGTACACAATTTCGATGAATAATTCTGTAGGTAAAGCCTCCACATAAACTTTAATATCGTTTGAACTTTCAACGTCAAATATCGTTTTTCTGCTATTATTATAAACAAGGCTAAATTAATTTTTTCCATAATTGCGTTCATTAGACTCTACTGAATGCGGAATTCCAGTTTACTCGCGGTTAACCTGTTGCCTATTCAATATAATATATATGTAGCTTCCGCTACAACCTCGAGACGATAAAAAGACCAAATACCAAAAATCAACGGCAGAGCCCTTTTATCACAATACGTATTTCGCATAAAAGTACGCGAGCGTACAGCAATGGCCGACGAGTTAGCCGCTGGAAAACTTGATTTCGTTTGTCAGTGTAGTCTAAAAAATACCGTCGAACAGAATAAATCTATCTAAATTGACGTTTGGTGAATGCGCCAAAGTTGCCCGGCTTATTAATCAACAAACAACTCCACTATCGGACAGCTACCGTTTTTCTACGTGTATCATGCACACCAAGCCCTTCTTTTACGTACGTTTCTCAACGAAATATAATTCGAGCTCAAAAGTTAAAGCAAGACTGCCGTAAAGTCTGCGCGTGGACGAGGCATGACAATAATTTGCAATTTCTAAAGAAAGAATTACATCTGAAAAAAAGGGCATATCTACCTTGCTGATAAGCGCAGCGAGAGCCATTTGCTCGTCCTTCTCAAGCGTCGTAATCTTCTCGACGAAATATTCCTTATTTTGGCATTTCACGGAGCAGCCAAGAAGGAGCACGAGAAGTAATTCAACTTCTCGGATATTCAATCGCGGCTGCTGAGCGATAAGTTGAACCTGGGGCAAGCGTATAATCACTTCGCCGAGGTTATCCTCGTAGAAATGACGGATACGGTGCAGCACCGCGTCAAGGTTAGCGAGACGCTTGCTCGGTTCGCCGAATGACGGCGAGACGTCGGTCTTTTGGCCGTCTATGTCCCTGCGGAAATCAAATGCAATCGCGCGTGAGAAATCTCGAGCGCAACGCGCGTTCAATGGCACCGCGAGGCCAAGACACCCGTGTACTTACATCTGCAAGACGACGTCGTAGATCGACACTCCGTCGACCAGCTCTTCGTACGTCATCGCATCTTTGTCGCGCCTGTCCAAACAATTGGTAATCTGCAGATAAATCGATTAATGAACATTAAACACACTATTTTTAAAGATTTTTCCAAGCTACATGTCTTTCATGCGGCGTCGATGCATTATAACGTTTGATACTCACCCATGTGACAAGCGGGCTTTCCAAGAACTTGTCCATGTCTCTTACATCCATTACTTCGGCCATTTCGCTACGATTTGTTAAATATATCAAATGCAACTATATCGAACGTAACAACAATGCTATTAGATGCGCAAGCTACGATTTGATAAATATATCAAATGCAACTATATAGGTTGTAACAACAATGCTATCAAATGCAACTATATCGAATGTAACAATTCTATCGGGTGCGCAAACTACTACGAAATCACAAAGATTTGGCAAGAGCAATGACAACTAGTATCCTTCCAGCACGATGTCTGAACAGTGAACACTGAGTAACTGACGCTTACTTTTATACTCTCCTCTGCAAGCGTCGCTTTCCCAGGGCAGGGCAGGGCCTTGTCTTCATTAAGATTTTCTGCGCTGTTATAGGCCGATTTCGTACGAGTGCCAATTAAGCCAAGAGCGTGGTGGGGCTAGGGTGTCTAGCTGCGAGACAATTAGCACTGGCTGATCGGTTTCAGAACGTCCACTTTCTCGACTTTCAATCCGGCTCTCATTTGCAAAGGGTCCATTTGCCTGTCTAATTCAAATCTTCAAGAGCAATTTTACCTGCTTCGTACAATTTCTTAATAGCTTTCCCTTGTAGGGTAGCTTGGCCAGGCTAATCGTTTTCAAGTGCCGTACAATGCCATCATGCCATTCGAACACCATTCGTTTCCATTTGGCATTCATTCAAATGGTAAGCCGAGGTTATAAAGACTTATTTTATGATGCTGCGACACTATCTAAAATCGCACAGATTTATTTTTCGTCGTTACCCTCGAGGATATCTATAAATTTACCTCTAATTGATGCTATTATGTTGTAAACTTTCAGAAAGTGTACGTGCCATCTTGACATTTTCTCTTCCATTGAAATTGAAAATGGTCGCACGGTAGTATAAATGGCGTGCGGAGAGTCGTGCTCGGTTTTATGGTACGCGCAAATTATTGTACACAGTAACATAGCGTAAGAATTGATACACGCCGATTGGCGCCATGTTGTTATGCACATTAGTTTGCATGTACAATCACAAAAATATTATTTCTTTGTATTTTTATTATAGATTAATGTCTTTTTTGAGGGGCTTAAACTTATTTAAAAGTCAAATATTATATAACTATCTTTTAAGCATTCAGGCCATAGCATTTCAAAGATTTTAGAATTAGAAATGTTAGTATCTTCACGTAGCACAGATTTTACTAATTGTTCATTTAAAAAAGAATTGATTGATAATATTCAAAATAACAATTCTTCCAGAGCGCTAAGCAACGATGTAATATTAAGTTGTTAATTTTTAATCAATTCTTGAATCAGTCCATCTTAAAAAAATAAAGAGTCCCCGCCATTCAGCGTTGTGATTTTGAATTTTCGTCTACTTTGAAATATTTTTATTATATTTCTGTCATGTTTGCTGGCTGTTTATTTTTTAAAAAATTGGTTGCTTTTTTATACTCAATTCTCTACAATAAATTAGTAATTTGTTTCGATAAGATTGGTATTCAAGCTTTAACCGTAGCAAATAGAGAGATTCTGGACATAATACTGTTATCACCGTGGCAGGTAACGTTGCTGGGAAAGAGATTGCATACCGCCTTTGTAATACTTAGGCTGCTTATTATATATAAATTGTGTATTAGTTGAGCTTCGATTATCTCGGGCTCATAAATATATTCAGAACAATTAGTATGAGATATACAGATACACTTAAATCAATTATACTATTTCCTACAACTTTCAAAGCAAAATAAAAATCATTCATATTATAGTTGCATGGATTTCCATATATATCCCCCACTGAAAATAAATATACAAATTTTGTATAGAACATGTATGAAATTTGTACAAGAATATATAAAAATGTGTACAAATCTTGTATAATATTCGAACTAAAAATTGGCACGAATTTTTTTCGAATATTGCACAATGTTTGTACGAATTTTATACAAAATTTACACGAAATTTGTAAAAAATTGTACATAATAATATAATAATTGACTTGTTCTTAAAAATTAAGTACATACATGTTAACATACATACATGTTACAAAAAGGATACACACATGTTATGAATAAAATAACGTTTTTACTAATGTTTTTTGTAAATTGCTCTATTAAAAGCAATAATTAAAACGTGATCTACTGGAAAGGACGCCGTAGTAAGCAATAACCGAAGTGTACACAGCGTGTCTGGCGCGTCGGCCATCAGACAGCTCATCCCCATTGTATCGGCGTCGAGATCTACTCTAAGCTGCGAGGGTCGACGATATAGTAGAGTTCAGTTGTTTTCAGCCTACCTGCATCCATTATACCTTCGATTTGAATATTCATGGTTCATAAATCAACATTAACGCTTTTAATTAATATTAATTAAATTTATAGAAATGAAAGAGTCCGTAACTTAAAAAAATGGTGTAATTTTAGTAAAGCAACAAAAACGTTTATTGCTCCATAAGAAATTTTTGTACTTTTCCAAAAAGCGTTTGCTTACATAACAATTAGCACGGCATTTTTGATGAGCAACAATCAGAACGTTTGCGTTTGTGCTCACTGTTACAATATTCAATTGATGCTAGAGTTATTGCACTTGAAAAAGAACTTAAAAGAATAGAAGATACTATGACAAAATATAACTGAAGCGTGCCGCGAGAATGAAATCTCTGAATGACTAGGACATAACAAGATAGAAAGTAAAATTTACGAATTTTCAAACAAAGATGGAATAGAACGTGTCACTGTAAATAAGTCGATCGAGATATATTTATGAACTTCTTGAAAGACAATTTACCGAAGACGAATTTTTGCAAACATTAACAATTCCTTGCTTAAAAAAATTTCAGAATAGTTTATTACACGACAAAGCGTTCAAAGTAATTTTTCTAGAGCAATCGCTTCCATATTTGAAAGAACGTGGAAAATCAAATTTAATTTAATAAAAACGTAATTGAGTTACTGCGTCACCATAGTCAACATGAAATTCAATCTGCATACATTATAATTTCGCACGTGGACAACTATTTGCAATAGTTGTCAAAAAACAAATTATTTTTAATTTGTTTGTAGATAACTCTTCAAATATACTACTCACAAGATAGTTGTATAATATTTGGCTTTTAGTAAGTTAAAGCCCCTCAAAAAAGACATAAATTCATAATAAACATATAAATAAAGAAATAATATTTTTCATTCAAATATATTTAAATTGTAGAACAAAAAAGTAACTATGGTATGACAACTATCATATTTTGGTATTTTGTATATGGTAAATAATAGATTTTTTTAAATAATTTCATTATAGCTTACGTTGAAATAAGTGAAATCACTATTAAAGATACTTTTAATAAAGTAAAAAGTGATATGAATGCTTTTTAATAACCTTTTAACGATTATAAAAATATTTTTAAATTTATAAAAAGATTATGTTCTACTTACATTATTATCATTTACAACCATTTTACAATATCTGTTTCTATTAATCTGATTTACATATTTTGTCGAAATGGTTCCTGATCTTTCAAAAGAAGTGAAATCCCCTTATAAAAAGGTGATGGGTGCCATATTGAAGCATATTATTCGTGATCTAATTGGCTGAGATATAGTCACCTGATATACTGTTACGGCAGAAAATATGGGTGTCGATGTCATTTCGAGTTGAAATTTTAGTAATAAAAATTGATTTTATCACAATTGATACGGAGAATTTTAAAGATAATGAAAATAAAAAAAGTAGGCTACACTGTTATTATTTTTACACTCATTTTATGAAACTAGCAGCGAGTAAATCGTTAGTAAAAGTGAGAAGTTATTGTGCTTTGGAATTATTTTGATAATCTAATATTTGAACGTATAAGATTGAAAAAAATGTTATAATATCGTAAACTTTATTATAAGAGTATAATAAACGTTTAATAGTAATTTGACCCGTATAGTTGAAAAGAACTATAGAGATCGTTTATATCAGTTTTTGATATGATAATTCATGAATTTAGAATACATGGAACTGTTTTATTACTAGTACAAGTTTTCCACTGTGATATGTTTTCTAACAAATATTAAAAAATTCATTTTTAAGGAAAGGGATTTATTGCGTTGAATAAGTTAATCAATATGACGATAAATAAAAAAAAACATGAAAGCGTGCGAGGTACGTCTGATGTCCCTAGTTTAATAAATGACTAATTTTAATTTAATAAATAAATTACATGGATGTTATAAATCACTTTCAAATGCTTTATATTAAATTATCAAGTATACTTTAGTAAATTATAGCTAGTATTATTACAAAAACATATATTTCGTTGTACTGCCACAAGTTTTTATATAAATCATAAATTCTACACCTTACGGTATCTTTTTCTCCAACGATTCGTACAAAATGCTGTCAGCTTATACTTGTTCAATTTTTACATCTAATAATATATAGAATCTTGAACATTTTGAAAAAATGAGAATAAAATCGAAGTATTGGTTAACATACTGTACCCGTTGTAAATTTCTCTAATAAGGAAAGTACCCCAACCCGAACTCACCGATTTTGATAATTCTTATGTATATGTTGTCGTACATTAAAAAACAGGAGATCTATAATTTTTTTATCGACGGAAAAACATCTTTAAGGATTGAAATCCATCCTCAAAGTTCAGTCCCAAAAACAGTATTTTTCAAATAACTTTTCTCCTAATCAACATTTTTTAGTAAAACCAAGTGGGTAATAATCCTTATAAAAAGTCTAATTAATTCTGGTGTATTTGACTTTTGGGGGTTGCAACCCCTATTTTTGATAGGTGAAAAATTGATATGAATTTTCGTAGTGAACAAATAGTTTAGTTTTGAACAAATATTTGTTTTTAAAAAGAAAATAGAAAAATAGAATCTTCCAATTTCTGAATAATGAATAAATAATAATTTTAGAGGGTAAGACTAATTATTAATAATAATTACTATCTAATGAGTAAATAATGCGATGGTTTTAAATAAATTTTCTATTTTTCAGTACTTTATGGCCGTCGCCATACTAAAAATGATACAAAGAAGTTTATT